AGTTTGGAGGTTTTAAGTCTGAGTTCCAAGTGCCAGGCTCTAGGGGCTGGGTGAAAGCCCCTCAACCTTGAGCTTCAGCTCTGCTCTCTGCTCCCGGCCCACTGAAGTTGGAGGCTTTTCTTCACTCAGACAGCGTCTGGCTGCTGAGACTAACAAGCCCAAGGTCAACAGGTAACAAGGCATAGTCCCAATGTTACCAAACCACATGGCAGACCATTAATCCAAGTCCACTGAAAGTACCAAGGTTCACAGAGCATGGCAGGCTGCTGAATAATGGTATGGCTACATGCATGGTTCAAGTGTGCCATGAGCTAGAGACCATTCCCCAAGGCTTCTCCTTATATACAGGAAGCAGACTACATCCCTAAGGCAGCTACTCAGCTGCTCCAATACCTTCCACCATGGAGTCAATTACCAGTTTTACCATGGGGAATAACTACATCCAGTTTTCCAGCCACTCAACCAGGCCTAGTTGACACACAAACATAACTACCACAATGGTCTTTGCCCAAAAGCAAAGATGAGAAGGCAAGGAAGGGTATGGAAACTGGAGGGATGGAAACGGGGAGGGCAGGGTGGAAATGAGGAGAATGTTGACACATTGCAGGGATAGCAACCAACATCACAGAACAATTTGTGTTGAATGGGATTGTTGAATGGGAAACTAATTTGCTGTGTAAAATTTCACCTGAAACACAATAAAACGTTAAAAAAAAAAAGAAGGCTGACAGGTAAGTAGAAAGGAATGAAGGAAGGGGAGAGGGAAAGAACGAATGAGAGAAAGAAGATGAACTTCTTCTCTTACCTTTCTTCTTTGGTAAGACGTGCCAGTTTTCTGGCTTTGTGGGCAAGGATAAATCTAAAACATACAAACAAAAAAAGGGGAAAAATTAATGCTTATTTTTGTCCTGGTCTCACATCTATATCTACACATATGTCCAGCATACAGTATCTAAAGCCCAAAGAAACAAATTACACACGAGCTTATTTTGTGTTCCAAATTTTACTATTTAAATGTTGCTGATGTACCAGACACTGAAGGGCACCTTCTAGCTTCAGGGATTTAAGGGGTTAAAAATAGATAAATGTTCATAATTTCTGTGTTAGGTACTTCTACGACTGGCTCATCACCCCCATTGTGGCTGATGGCCAATGGGAATGAGCTGGGTGTCATATGGCGACTTAAGGTAGTATCTGAGTCCTTCCATTTTCCCTCCGCCTTTGCTCTTTCATTCTGCCTCCACTATGGTATCTCTTTAGCATCCGGCCTTCCAAAATACAGCTCTCATTTCTAGCCCAATGATTACTTTCAATTTCACAACTAGCTTGGATCTTACTGTTCTGACCTTTGGTTCCCTCTGAGATAAACTCATACTTATCTCATGGCGATCTCAATTTTGGCTGCTTCAGGTAACCATCTATTTGAGCCAAGTTCAGCCTTCCAAGTCATCCTTCATCAGTACTGGTCTTCCCTGCCAGGCAGAGGATGTGGCTGACCTATACGTCTATCTAGGGAGACTTAGACAATCTCAGCAATCTATAAAACTAAATACCACTGATATCCACACAGCATCCACATAAAGCCCTCTTAGTACAGAAAAAAAAAAAAAAACAAACTCATTGCTGTAGAGTCGAATCTGACTCATAGTGACCCCTCCTTGTGTTTCTAGCAGTATCTCTACGGAAGTAGATTGCCCAATCTTCTTTCCAGGAGTGGTTGGTGGGTTTGAACCTCCAGCCTTCTGGTTAGCAGTCAAATGCATTAGGCACTACACCACCAGAGCTCAATGCTTTCACAAAATAGAGCTCTATCTCTAGTAGTAAATATGAAGCAGGAAATTAAATATAATAAATATTAAAATGTTACTGGTTTTCTAATCCTGTTTTAGATATTTATTCATTGGAGGTATTTAAAAAAAAGCAGCAGGAATTTTTCTATTGCTAGATTTGGAGAATAGTACTCTTGGGCAAAAAGTTCATTTAACAAGGTTGGGGGACACATTTATTATTAGTATTAACTGATTAGGATTGCCTTATCAACATCAAATGTTATCCACACCACTATAACTGTGTCTTACCCCATTATGGCAGCATAGTTGCCATCAGGTTTGGTATCATCCAACGTGTAGGCAATTGGAGATTCCTCTCCTTCAATAATCATAGTTCCACAGTAATCTTGGTGAACAGCAAAACGGAAAAAGATAGTCATCATCTCATCACAGTACCCACAGTAGTTACAATTTTCACTTTGAGAAGGCCTAAGGCTGAGTAAATGATATTATACTCTGAATAAATGAAGGCAAACCAAACTGATATTAAAAGGATGGCTAAGTAGCCAACATTTTGTGAAAATAAATAAACTCTTAAGCCCCCTTCCACAAAGAGTAAAGCAATGTGATATTATAAATTAATGCAGCCCACCCTTCAATGAAACTTTGTTTTCCTTGCTATTATTACTTACTTTCCCTATTTCTTATTTTATAAAAAACATAGAATAAAACCAGAGGCATGTAAAGGAAATAATAATCTATTATTGTAAAATAGAAAGACCTGAAATTTAGCATTTTATGAGGAGCCACCTACTCTATTATTTTCAATTCTTGATTATCTGGAGACATGGCAGAGAAGAGATGGATAAGTAAAATCCACAGAGTCCCAACCCTCTTTTCTAACATGATCTCTGCTAGGAAGATGTTCTACCTTTAAAATTCCCATCCAGGCTGCCTAAGCTGAGGTCTTGGGCATTCTTTGGTAAGGGGTGGAGTGTGGAAGGAATCAGTTCTCATTTTCTCTCCCAGTTCTTTCTCCTTGTCAGAGAAGCCTTCCTCCTTGTTCTGAACCCACACTAGCTCTCTATGACTACCTATGACTACAGAATTGTATTAAAGTGATTCATCTTGTACCTAGTGAGAGGAGAACTGTTCCTTCTGATCAGGCACTCCTGGTCACAGGACTGTCATGCTGTTTGAATTTGAACAAAGCTTGGCAACAGGGTGATCAGGCCAGGTATGACTAACAATGGCACCATCCCCTGACCCCTTTTCTCTTGTTCCCATGCACTGAGGCTTAAAACCCAGACCCCTCTGTCTCTCTGTCTTTTGCTTATATACATGTGCAGAAAAAATTTCCTGTGTCAGGAGATAGCTCAGGGGGCAGGAGTGTATGGAGGGATGGACACTGGGAAGAGGTAACTATGGGGAGGAAGTGGGAGGGGAGCTGTCACATTGTGGTAAA